GATGGCAACCATGGTTACATTTCTTCTTTTTACTGCATACCAACGTCCTTTACTTTGCATTTTTTTCATCGTTAGTTTGCGTAACTGCTAAACGACTTCTTTATGCAGATTGTTTGTGCTAAAGTTCGAATAGGTGATAAACGAATTGTACGTATCAAAGAGGGTGATCCTGAAGGACGGCATGTTGTGATTGTTGATGATTTGGTCCAGTCAGGTGGCACTCTGATTGAATGCCAGGTATGCAATTTCACATATATGATTTCTGTTTACTACGAATCTTCACATACTTTTTTAAAATCTGGAGGTTACCATCTACAAGCTATGGCTACAAGGTGAAACTCTGAAGTTTGGTACTGTTACAAGATAAAATCACGAACTTTGACAGTGTTGAGAATGCATGTGATTTTGAGTGGAAGTGTCAACTTTAGTGATCCCTTTGATTTTTTTTTTTTTGAGAAGTGTATTTGAATTACAGAAATAGTTTGGTATGAAGAGGTTTATGGCTTTTTCTGGTCTTGATCCTGCTTAATGGAAGCTGTACCAAGTTAACTGAATCCAATGATAGCTATATGTAAGAAGGAAGTTTGGTAATTTATACCTTCCACTAACCTGCATTTGATTATTTCCATTTAGTTTCTTGTTATTTCCTAGTTTTGATTCTCATGTTACTCTTAATATGCATAATTAGAATATAATTTATTGTTTCAGTTGTTCTAAGAAAATTATTATGTTTGTGTTACTACACCTCTATCTTAAATTTCTTTACGTGGAGAATTTAAATCTTAGATACCTAATAGATTATGGTCTAGTTATGTGTATTAAGATTAATATGAATATTAAAACTAGCAATTGAGTAGAAATTGAAGGAAAATGAAACAAAAGCAACCTAAAGCCAATGTGATAAAATGTATTAAGTTAATTTTTTACCTCTGGGAATTGTACTTCAGCGTGAGTGCACTGCTTTTGACTCTCATTTGAGTTGATGTTCCTTTAACAATTATATTCATTCTTAGTCATTGGTTGTGCAAAAATATGGACCCTTTCTCATATTCTGTATGGGCAATGTTCAAATTAGTTTCATCAACTTATATTT